TCACTCATTTCCAGCCACACGTAACGCAGCCTCCCTGGCCTTGTAGGCCAGCAGAAGTAAAAGCACTTCAAGTCCTCTTTCACCGCGATCCACGTAATCGCCTAGGAAGACATACTTCAGTTGCGGATCACAGATGAGCAAGGATGAGCCCTCAAGCTTGCTGAAGCCCTTGTCCTGGTACTGCTCCTTGATGTAAATCAACCACGCAATGAGGTTGAAGAGCTGCCCGTGAAGATCTCCGATGATCGCAACATATCTCGCAGTGATCTCTCGGCTCCACCCTTGCCCTTCAGCGGCCTGCTTCTCTGGCACAAGCACCTCTTTCTTCAAATGGCTCAGGAACCGTTTGATTGCCGACGGATGCCTGATCAGTGGCAGCCCCCGGTACTTGCCAATCGGCAGCGCCAGGGCCGTTTTTTCGAGCTGCTCCACAAAGTCCATGGCAAATTCTTGCAATCCAGGGTCCGCCAGTCTGCACTGTCCAGCAAAGAGGTCTCGAATGACAAAGACTTGTTGGGATTCATTGGTGTGGAGGACGGTGCAGGTCTCCACACACATGTCTGCACCGCTCCTCTCCACCTCCACAAAGCAATCTTTGAATTGCCACGTGCCTACCACTGACTTCAGCTCATAGGTGTGGCCGGAGCATGTTGGCGTGGCTTGGCACAGGCCCGGCTGGAGCTGGCACCACTGCACCTCTTTTTGACTCTTCCGCATGGCTTTGACTTCTTTTGTGCCATCGGGGAGAGAAACTTTGCATGTCTCCTCACAGAAACGTTCATCCCCTTGTTGAATGGGCGCATTCACCTTCACCGTGCAATTCTCATATCGGAAGTCCACTCCCGAAAGCACGGTGACGTTATCGCACTTGGACCTGCAGCAGTGTTTCCAACAAAAACTGCTGCGCTGGCCTGCCAGTTCACCGTGATGCTCCCGGAGAGCATTCACACTGGTCACGCCCGCCAACATGAAAAGCAGCAGTGACATCATCACGGATCTGTCACTCAGGCTGGATTTCGAAAAGAAAAGTGAATAGTCTGCGTTACCGAGATTAGGCTGCTTGAGCTGCGTCTGCAAGGTGACCAAATCCACACGCGCCCTCAACCGGCGAAGGCTTTTGGATCGTCACAGTCCCCGCGCCTTGGCTCTTCGCCTCATACTTCCCAAGAGCTCCCTGCCTGGGGGCCAAGGGAGGGTAGCGATTTCGGAACGCCCCGGGCCAATTGAGAACACCACTCAGAAGCTGTGGGCGAACCCAAGCCGCACCCCAAATGAAGAAAGTGGCATCATCCCGTCATCAGTGTGCGTGCTAGCAGAGATCAAGTTTACAATGTGGATGGACGAAATGGCCGCCGCGTTGGGTTGCCAACCTGCAACCCTGGAAGTCCTCGACCGCTTTTGAAATGGTCTATTCGGAACGAACGTTCTTGGTCATAAAACAGCTATGTGCGCAATGTTTAAGCCATGCCTGCCAACCGCTGCCAATACAATAGCTCTTTGGCCCCAAGACAGTCACTTTGGCTATGACATGGAGGGTTTTGGGGTAGCGCTGTGAGTCAAGTGTTTATTTAAACCCTTACAACATCAAGTTTATTGGGCAGTTGGCGCAGTTTGCGCTGATGCGCATCAGCCAGAGAATCGCAGCAGAACCGACCTTTGAACTCCAATCGCTGCAACAACAGAGCATGCCCAACATTGCCTCGCAAAATAGATAGCAAGCAAACGATTGTATTGTACTGTGTTGAGCGTAAAATTCGATGCAATTTGCAGCGCATAGCCTGTCGTTGTTTGAGGACTGCAAAAGCTTCTGAACATAGTACGGCAACATGCTGGGCTCTAGTATGACGGGTCCTGAAAGTAGCAAGACTACCGTGAAATTGCCACGAAATTAGCGTGGCGTTGCAAAAGGGCGGCGCTGCAACAGGGCGGCTTTCTTAGCTTCTGCACCTCATAGCTGGTTGATTGGTTGGCTCATATATAAACTAAAGGTTAATCACGGGTATGGTCTGATACTTTGGCATCAACAGTTTTTGTCCAAGGTCAAAGTGTGGAACTCCAGAGACAACGGTGCGAGGCATTTGTTTTCATCCACGGCATCAGAAAGCCAATGTTCCACCTAGGGGTAATGGGAAACGGACATCCAGACATCGAGCATCGAACCAGTTCGCTTCAGTCAGCTGGGAAGTCCAACAAATGTGCCATGTGCACAAATTGTGAAGAAGTTGTTGCCATAAAAGCCAGCACCAGGATTGCCCAAAACACGTGATCTCCCGAGGAATTTTCTGCACCTCGAACCTTAGAAGCCTAGAACCGGCCAGGAAGTCGCTAGTCTTGAATCTTCCGCGCAGGTTAGAAAGGCCAAAAGGGTACTTTGGCAAGTCGAGCAAGAGCAAACCAACTTGCTGTGAGAACGAAGGAGATTAGCCAAACAAGCGGAAGTCAGCCGAAAATGAAGCTTTTTGAGTGTTCACCACGTAGCCAACTGCAGTGAAGAATCAACACGCAATGTCTTCAGCTTGTTCATGCTACTCTTCTAATAGGGTGTGCTAAAAAGTCACCTCCCCCCCCCGGTATGCAGCCTCTTTGGAGGCAACGACCAAAGGGCCCCCACAAGACCAACACGCCTGCCCAATGTGTTCATCCAAACATTGGGGTTGGTGGTGTAACCACCCCTGAAAGGTACCTGGGGAGCCACTCCTTTGGCTCCTCTGGCCCCCTGTACGATCCCAACTCTCAAGCGCCTCGACTTGACCAAATCGAGGCCGCGTCGACGGCTGTCCTCGCTAAAGCCGTGGGTCAGCCCGGCGCGGACAGATGGGCCGGGAGGAAAACGGGGCCCCTATCCAACCATCATCCATCCGGTTCTTCACTCTGCAAGAAGGAAATGGAACATTAGGCTCTGTTTTTTGCGGGAGCTCATCCCCATGTCCCTCCCAAAAGGACCATGGAATACCAGCAATTTTGACCAAGCCTCATCTGCAACTTGCAAATACAACTCCAAAGAGCAACGCAATAACACCGGCCAACCACGGATGATGTTGATTATTGAAACTCCGACAAAGGACATGCACGGACCCCAATTCGCAAGATCCCTTCCTTCCCATCCCTGTCTCGGACTTCTCCAAGGGCTTCTGTTTGGGGATAGCCAGGTTCGCTCAGAAAGTCGAAGATCACGTGCCAAACCCGCCAGGTCAATCGCAGAATGCTTTCGCCAAAAGCCCCAAGTAAGTGACCTTCATAATGCGCCTTTTGTGGATTTCACCTGGTCTTCCCCCTGTTGGTCCTTTTTCAGTACTCTTTTAGTACTCTTTTAACCTTCTACAGGGGTGGAACCACAAAAACCACATCCAAACCGTTTTCTAGAATAATAGGCCGCTCGCTTTACCTAATGCATCTAAACACCAGCTGCTTGACAAGGGATCCTCCACATCAGCTGGTACATTTTTTTATTCGCCGGCTCAACTGTATCATTTCAGGGCTGAAACTGTCTAGTTCACTGACTCAAGAAGCCACACCCGTGCCTCTCCGCTTGGCTTGACTAATCAGCCAGCCAGAACCTGGCGACAGCATTCTAAAAGCCCTGACTTTTTGTGGGGCCAACGGATCCGCATCCTAAGCGCCGGTGGCATGAAACAACACTACGGTTTCATCCGTGTTTCCAAAATAAGGCCCACTCTTGGTTCGAGCGCGGAATTATCAAACAACAGAATCATCACGTGACTTAGCGCAGTCAGAACACAAATTTTGCCCAAGGCTGCATGCTCGGTCGGCCTCCTACGCGGCTACCCATCACTATGGGCCTCGAGTTCATGCTCCCTGGTGTTGATGTCGATGTCCAAGACCTCTTGGTCAGCACCCCGCAACTCTTTGTAAACTTCCAGGGTGACGCGGTCTCTCTTCATGGCCTTGCAAATCTGAACAGCTTCCTGGTCACTGTGGATCAACGCCTCCCCCTGCAAATCAATCAGCTTGCGAGCCTCAAACTCTCGATTCTTTGCGGTGATCAAGATTTTGCGCACCTCTTCTTTCAAGGAGTTTGTCTCTGCCTCACCCAAGCTACAAGAAGTGTTGTGTCCACTGCTCACCAGGCGCTCGTGATTCTCCTGAATGGAAGACTCAAGGTCAGGGCTCTCAAGGTCAGGGCTCTCAAGGTCAGGGCTCTCAAGGTCAGGGCTCTCAAGGACTTGTGATCCTTCTTCCAGCAGGCTTCTCCCAGCGCACTTGGCCCCCGTGAACTGTGCAGCTAGCTGCCTTGCCTGATCGCCAGACAGCTGCAGCAGCGTACTGGACGACAAATTCTGCTGCGAGTCCACCAACATACAGCCACCTTGGTGGTTCGTTGATCCTTTGTCAAACGTGAGCAACTATTAGTCATATTCGGGTGTGGCAGAAAACAACAAACTTATCAAGCATGACACACCCTCATTTCTACAGCATCAACCACAAATTGTTGGGCACCATTTAGCTGCAACGCACAGCAAAAAGCCTGGAAACTGTGCCATCAAAACAAACACTTGTTAGGCTTTAAAGGCAAACTTGTCGGGCATGGCAGCGGGGGTCTTTGTTAAGAGTTTGTAGGGGTTGGGGTCAGGTTTAGGGCTGTTTGGCTGAAGCACATCTTACATCGATCCTAAACCTGTCCTAAACCCACCCTCACCGACCTCAAACCCACCCTTATCCGACCCTAAGCCAAACAACCCTACACCAACCCGCAGTAGACCTACTCCCAGCAAAGAATAAGCAAAGCTCCCCAGCCATGCCCCAACAAGCTGGCTTTGAATCCTAGCGAGCTTTTGCTTGATGCTGTAGTTTCCAGGCTTGTGCTTTGCAGCAAAATGGTGCCCACTAAGACGTTGATGCCGAACAAGTTTCTTGAGTTTTAGCAATGAGTTTTTTGGCGCACCCCCCCCCCCAGTATGGCTGGGAGTCGCCAAGGCACCGGCATTATTCTGGCCAGGGCCTGCAAACATCCGTCGGTCCCACGGAGGCGCTGCAAGTGGTCGACGCCCTTGGAGGCAAAAGACGCCCACGTAATCTGCAGAAGAAAAGATTGTGAAGACATAATGGTCATCAAACGTGATGTTCGACGAGCCTTCTTCCATTTGCTCATGTCCACGCCAAATTGCGTGGAGATTGTTGGAGTCTAAGAAGGCTTTGGCGATATCCACTCCGAACTTGTATACTCCTCTGCCTCTGGGAGATTGAACCCAGCCCCTCCCTTCGTGAGGATCAGCCCAGGTCACTGAGATAGCAGTGGCTTCGTCAAGACATGCTCCGAAGCGGCCTGCTTTCCCCGAGCACTTCTTCACAAACTGTGGGCTGAGGCCACCGTGCACAAACATGTACTTCCCGGGCACCACGGCGACGTAGGGCAAATGCCGCACCACGTCTCTGAAGGTGTATGGCACCATCTTCACCTTGTACCAGAGTTCCGCCTTGAAGCCATAGTTGTCCCAAACTTCAGGCGATTCATGGTTGCCTTGCAAAAGAACCAAGCCTTCAGGGCAGCGTGCCTGCAGGGGCAGCTCAGGGCAGGAGCTTCAAGCAATTGGGCACAGGGATTCAAACAACAAAGCTTTGACTGGTTGTTCCGGCTAGTCGCGCGGTTCGTTGCTGCATGTTGCTGCGTATGATCCCCGTACCTTAGTGGTGGGTTGGGGGGGGAGGGTGCGGAATTTGACATGCCCGCGCGGTCAGGGTCCTGAGATTTTGCTGGATTCTGGATTTGCGTTGATTTCAGTTCCAGTTCGCATTTGAGCGGCCGGCAAAGCACAAACGCGCGCTCGAAATGCTGGATGATCGCAGTCCGGGAAGGTGGCATTCACCACCCTTAGGGTAAATCGCTCGGTTTCTGGGTTAGTTCATGTCCCACCCAGCGATAAAGCCCAAACACCTGCTCTTTTGCTCTGCTTGTCGCCATTGACAGCTAGCAGGGCAAACGTAAAAGGTGCAACCAAAAGTATCAGAATTTGGCCTGCCTGCGTGATCTTGCGTGATCCGCTTGACAGCTGGTGAGAAACCGAGTGTGCTAGGGTGGACACAAGTCCTTTTCAGAAAGTGGCGCTGGTGATCACTTGATCGCAGTTGCAAGGCTCTTGTGTGAAGTTTGTGCAGAGATGACTACGTCGCTGAAAGCCCTTTTGCAAAAACTTTGGTGGTTAGCGAAAGATGATGCGCCGCAAAAGTTTGTGAACCTGCTAGATTCAAGCCTAAACCCATTGTTATTCGTATTGACGTGGCACCGCCCTCAATTTGACATTTCAGGGCGGAATATGCAGTATGTCATTGCTCATGCGCTAGCCTACAACAACTTGAAAACAGCTTGCCGCTAGAGCTTGAATTCAACGTAGAACATGCGCACAAAGACCAGAAACGAACTGATCGCATTCTGTCGGTGATGTGTCAAATGCAACTTGGAAACGATTCCCTCCGTCCCAGTAAGAGGTACTCATTTCCAGCCACACGTAACGCAGCCTCCCTGGCCTTGTAGGCCAGCAGAAGTAAAAGCACTTCAAGTCCTCTTTCACCGCGATCCACGTAATCGCCTAGGAAGACATACTTCAGTTGCGGATCACAGATGAGCAAGGATGAGCCCTCAAGCTCGCTGAAGCCCTTGTCCTGGTACTGCTCCTTGATGTATATCAACCACGCAATGAGGTTGAAGAGCTGCCCGTGAAGATCCCCGATGATCGCCAGATGTCTCGCAGTGATCTCTCGGCTAAACCCTCGCCCTTCAGCGGCCAGCTTCTCTGGTACAATCACCTCTTCCTCCAAATGGCTCAGGAACCGTTTGATGGTTGACGGCTGCTTTACAAGTGGCAGTTCCCGATATCTGCCCGTCGGCAGCGTCAGGGCCGTTTTTTCGAGTTGCTCCACGAAGTCCACGGCATATTCTTTCAATCCAGGGTCCTGAATCCTGCAGAGTCCACTTAGCAGGTCTCGTTTCACCAGGACTTTCTTGGGCTCGTTGGTGTGGAGGACGGTGCACGTCTCTGCACACGTCTTTGCACTTTCAGTGTCTCCTCCTCTACTAGAGCAATTTTGGAATTGCCATACGCCTTTCCATGCCCTGAGTTCATAGGTCTGACCGGAGCAGGTTGGCGTGACATGGCAGGGTTTCTCCAGGAGATAGCACTGGTAGTCATCCATTCCACTTTCTCTCCAGGCTTTGACTTCGGTGACTTCGTTGTAGAACGAGGTATTGAATGAGATCGTGCATGTCTCCTCACAGAACCGTTTGTCCCCTCGATAAATCGGCTCATTCACCTTGGCCAGGCTCCCCCTGCAAAAGCGTTAAGCCTTTTAATGGTGAGAAGGAAATATCTGGAAACCCAAACGGGCAAAAAGGTGAGTTAAGTCTGCGATGTGACCTTCACCGTGCAATTCTGGAATCGAAATTGCTTCGCACCGAAGTCCCGGTCATTGCACTTTGGCCTGCAGCATTTTCTCAAACAAAAGCTGGCGTCGTCGGCCTCCGCGAAACCATGACGCTCGCGCAAGGCATTCACAACGGGTAAGAGTAAGAGCACCAGCGCCATCACTGCGCGTTGGCACCCGGAAGCTGGATTTCAAAAAGAGCGACTGATCTGCATTATTGAAGTTTGGCAACTTGAGCCCAACGATCCAAGTGTGCGAAAAAGATTCTGGCTTCCGTTTGAACGTTTCTCCTCCGAAAATTTATGGTGGCTCATTGTGGTCAGGAGTAGTCTGGCAAGGTCTAGCGCAGTTGAGTTTTCAAGGGGAACCCCAGCCGCGACTCAGACTGGTTGGCCACAGGGCAACTCAAAAGAGACCGTTGCCAATCGGAGGAGACAAACCAACTCGAAGGCCGTTCCGTCGCCTCGGCAGATCGCTCGCAGTCTTCAGCCTGCGGCTGGGTACATCATGGAAACTGGGAGGCCTAAAACACTTTTCCGAAGTAAAAGGGGCCATCCATGCTAGTGGGGTACATCCAAATCCAGAAGGGACATTGCAACAAACCACGGGTTTTTACAAGTCGAATCCTTGGAATCAGCTGCTGATGCTTTCATTGGTCCAAAGGCATTCTTGAAACGCCCTACTCTGGCAGATTTCCTTCGTGCGCTAAACAAACGAGAGAAGCTGTACCCGACTACTTTCCGTTTGAAGAAACAATCCTGCCGAGTCTGCCTTTCTCGGAGGAATTCTGATACCAGCCCCATCGACAGAAGAATGCATGTTCAAAAAATGGCACACGCATTCAACCATCTTATGCAGGCATCGGCATCCTCAGGAACTTACCTTTCAATGGGAATCCCGAGATGCAGTGAGTGAGACACCTTGTCCTCGACACTGGCATGTGGTGGATCGAGCTAGGAGTGAAGCTGGAAAGCAAGGGAAGGATGAGCAGCTCACAACGACCATTGTCAACTGGCGCTGAGTTCTGTGCATGGAAAGAGCAGCATGCGCCCGCCCGCCGGCCTTCAGAGAGGTGGTCTGGCCACGCCAATTCGCTCAATACCCTCCGGGAACCCTCAGAACATATTTCGGATCGGAGCACCTCCGGAACCCTTTGAAGCCTTCTGAAAGCTTCCACCCTAGACTGCACGGAATCCTCAGGAGCGGACTTTCCAGAACTCTCCGGAACGCGGCTCAGCAGCTTTTCGGTTGTCCCGGCACCAGTTCACTCAACCGTCAGGACCTTTCGGAACCTTCCACATTCCTTTCGGATTGGTTGCCGTGGTGCCGGAGCCTTTCGGAGCGTTTCGGAACCTTCCGGATTTCGGTACCTGTTTGGGCCCCTGTCGCCCCAACGCCTAAAGCTATCGAAAAACCAAGTGCGTCATACATCCACTTGGTGCCTCCCCTCCTCCCCCGCCCCAAACAACAAAATCCGGTTGGTTTCCCTTCCGAGCCAACAATGGGCTCCCAGGTTGACATAGCCAAACACCACCTGCCTTACAAAGGAAACAGCTACATCGGCTGGTCAAGGTAATGTTCCTCGCCTGAAAAAGATGTCCATCGGACAAAAGTTGCATTTGTTGTGGCAGGTATGTTGTTTTTGAGGCTACCCTTTTCGTGCTACCCAATGCTGTCCCCCCTCCCCCAACCAAAAAAGAAGAAAGAGCACCCAGATGATGTCAAAGGGGTTCCCGCCCTCCGCCAAAAAACGCAAAGGAGAAAGAAGTCAGAAGAGACACCGGGCAGTGCCAGGCGGCTCTTCCACACGCTTGGCGGGCGCTCCTCGTTGTCCTTGCGACCAGCCGAAGGGCAAAAACTTCAACTTGGGCTATGAATGTGGCTCGTTTCTTGGAGTTGGGGACCCCTTTTCACCTTGGTTCATCCGAAACCAAAAGGAAAATCGAAATCGGCTTTGGGGCGCCCCCTAATTTGACACATGCCCATATGTAGTTAAGTTTCTTTCAATGGACTTAGGGGTTCCAAACGGCGCGCTTCTTTTCAGCGTCTTGAGGGCATGTCACCATTCGATCATTAGTTGCTTCGCTCATAAAACAGATAATCTTGCGAGTGCACATCCACGCTCCCCCTGCGGCTTTTCGCCGCACTCGACCGACTGGTTCGCAGCCGCCGGAGCCATCTGATGCCGTTTCAGGCTAAACCTCCACGAGTGTAGCCAATGCCTTGGTTCTCTTGCGCGGCCTGGTTCACCGCTCCGAGAAGCGGATGCCCCTCCTCAGCTCCTTGAGCGAAGAAGATGTAGCCCCGCCATTGGGCCATGTAGGCGTATGTTGCCGAGGTTGAGCAGCGGTCCAACTGTCCTTGGTAACTGTTCAATGGCCGTCTGGGTAGATCCGAAAGACCAATCAGCGCAAGACCAATCCCGGTCCGAACGCAGGGATCAGCAACCACGCTTCTTTGACTGGCGCAAGTTCCCGGAATTTCTTGTTCTCCTCGACTCCCGCCACCTTGCAGAAACCGAAGTCACACATGAGCTGGGTTCGGAAGCCACCCACATCCGGCAAACGCCTCACTCGCCATGCCGCGATGCCCCTTACCCTGGCTTCTGGGTAAGCGCCCCACAATGTTCAAGCGGGCCCCAAAAAAGCCTTCCATGACCATTGCCTCAATGTAGCCTATGAGCTCGACTTCGGCTGCGTTGAGCGTGGCAAGCGGCTGTCGTTGAACCACTGCTCCTCCGTAAAGCCCAGAACTCGCCATCTCCAATCGTCACATCAACCTTGTGAAAGGTAGCGCCTACCCCGGCTCTAGATCAAGCCCGCATCCTGCTTTCCAAGACGCCATGCTGCGACATGCATCCGTTCCCGGAACTTCATCCAGCTAACCTTGCACCCAGTCCGGCAAGCTGCGTATCCACTTCTAGTTGATCTTTTGATGACGCTCACAGAAAATGCTGACGACCGTGGCCTACATGTGCGGCACAGGGCGAAAGAGAGCCTCTACTAGCGGATCATGGAGCCGGAGGGGAAGAACTGAACGCCGAGCACGACGTGCGCTGCGAGTGGGGAGTACGCAAAACCTTGGGGGTTGGAGTTGGGTCTGAAGGACGTCAAGCAGGTCATAGAGGACTACCAATAGGGCTTCAAGGAGGCGCTCGCGGAAGAGACCATTGCTCCCCAAGACATTCGGGGCATGGGAAGCAAGGGATGCTGCCGGCTGGCAGTTGCACAAGGAGGTGAAGAAAACGAGCCAGGGAGGGTTCTGCAAACCTACACGGCGCCGCTCCAAGAAGTTTGATGGTGCGTGTAGATGAGAAAGATCTGGATGGCATCCCAGGCATCGAGAACGCAGAGTCCCCTTGAAAGTTCGTAGTGGACGGCAACCAAACCCCGAAGGCAGCCGGCAGATTGGTCAGCCTTCCGAAGACAAGGTCCTGGCGGGCTTCAGGTGGCAAGATGGCAGAAAAAGCATTTCGTTCTCCAGCTACGACAGGCAGACCTGGCAGCAAAGGCTCCGCACCGCGCCTTGTCTGACCCAGCGAATCCCAAGTCCTCCAACGAAGCCGTCCTTGCTTCCTGCTGCGCCCCGCGGTCCTCCTCCTCGCGGATGAGCCTGTCCAGGGCCTGGACCGCTGTCTCGCTCTCCCTAACAACCTTGCGCCGGCGCCTGCGAGTGATCATGGCGAGTTCGGGCTCATAACCTATGGGTTAGGGGGATTTAAAAGGCGCGCTTCTTTTCAGCGTCTTGAGCCAAATTGCATGTTGCCATTCGATCATCAGTTGTTTCACTGATAAGAACAGATGCTAATCTTGTGAGTGCGATCCACACTTTCAAGCCGGCAGGAAGAACCCCTTTGGTTGGTTTGGGAATCCGATTTGGTTTTGTTTGGACACCCACTTTACGGAAACCCTCTGGCGTTTCGACCTTCCCGCGTGGGGGGGGGGACCCAACCAAAGCAGCGAACACTGGGTGAAATGCCCTGAGCAACTCGGCCTTGAGCCGCAGAAAGAGCGGCAGCGAGGTATCATCCGCGCGCAGGGGCAGCTCATCTGGCTCGCCAAAGACCACGTGCCACATGAACTCCAAGAAGAAGCCTCAAGTAAGGCGAACCCAACAGTGGTTTGGGAATTGGAGGTTTAAAGGGGGTGGGGTTTTGCCCTTACCCTCCACGAAAACACCGGGCCCATTTTAAGACGACATCCTCGAATTGACCCGAGCTACATTGTGGCCTCAAGGGAAACAATTCGCAGAGAAGTAATTTTGAGAACACTGGGAGAGCCAATCATGTTGCGTCTCATGTCAAAGGGCGTCCACTATGTGCTTAAAGAACTCCTAGCTACTTAGCTCCCTCCCAGCGCAAGAAGCAGTGGGACAGGCGCTGGCCCGCGTACTTCTCGTAGGAGGGCCCGATCCGCTGGCAAAGGTCCGGCACAGAGCCATCAACGAGCTGCAGCATCTGGAGGTATTGCTCCAAAGGCCGCTGCATGATCCTAGAAATCGAGATGCCTCGAAAAAAACGAATGATGAACTGCCTTGGCTTAAAAAAGGCATGGCCCCCTGATGATGTCCTTTGTGCCCCTTTGTAAGGAAGGGTCGGGATGAACAGCGGTAGACTCTTTGACTGTTGCCCATTCAGACGGTCCAACTGGCTTGGGCATGGTTGACACTTGCCAGTGTTTTTTGGAGTTTAAGCAGATATCTCCGCACACCTAATCCAGCCTATCCACAGTCAAGAGAACGAGCTTGGGCTAATCACTGTGAGCTTGTCTCTTCGGGAGATCGTTCCCGCTAGGCTTGAGGGAGAATGGGCGGTCCCCAGTCCATCTTTGTTTGGTCCAAAGATAAAATGGACTAGAAATCCCACTGGTGGCCACCCAACCTCCCCCTTTCCATCTAGGGGCTGTGGGTGGCACAAAGTTACACAATAAGCATGAAGCGAAAACCTGCACAATAGCTCAAGCAGTTTCGAGGCAAACGTTTAGGTCCATTCGGGTGACATCCTCAAAACTACACTAAATTGTTCTGTAAAGGGACGCCATTCCCAAAAATAATGCTGAGAGCTCTTCACACTCGTTTATTTTAAGGTACTAGGCGAAATCTAGTAATGACTGGCGGTCTTCCGCTGCCCGACCTTCTCTTGGACACCAGGAACTGGGAGCAGCAGTAGGTGTACAGTCGCCCCGGCTCGCGACCCACAGCCCGGCGGTAGATATCGTCCTGGCAGGGGTTGTACGTCGCCACCAGCCTGCAGGGCTCAATCCAAATCCAATTGACTTGGGGCAAACCCGACCCCAGATTCGCTGATTTTCCGAAAGCTGCTGGAAGTTGTTAGGACACTTCTGCACGTGATTGAAAGAGCTGATGCTTGAACAGTTTGGCAGCGGCAGTCCATGCAGTGCTCAAGCGGGTAGTTGGCATCAATACTGAAAGGACCGTATTTCAACTGAAACAGGTGGTCTCAAACACGCACTGTTTTTAAGCCCATCTATGGTCCTTCATGGTCTTTGGTATCGCAGTTCAATGATCCAAAACCTAAAGCAAGGGATACCGGACCCGTCATAGTGAGCTCAATTTACACACGAATCGGCGAGCTCGGCATTGGCAATTCTCTATTTTGCTCAAGAGCAGCTTTCCCATGCATCATTTTTCGGAAGTAGTCCCTCATCCGACACAAAGTTTGAGCTCCGTATGTTATTTTGTGCTTTTACAACTTCTGTTTTGGCCTCTCTCTTGTCAGGGCCATTTAATATCTATGAACTGCCCCTTACTTTTCTTGCGCAACCTCCCAATTGCGCCAATTGTTTCAAACATTTGGTTGGGCCAAATGAGCCAAGGCTATGAACACGGCAGCACCGACTCCATCCGGGTTCTTTCGGACCAGCGGCGAGCCCTGCCTCGGGGCACCCAGGTGGGCGAAGTCGAGTTGATTCAGGGTGCCCAAAGCCACAGCCCGGAAGACCAGATTCAGCAGGCCGAAGGGCGTGTGATCCGAAGGGTCCCCGTGTAGGAAGAAGGTTAGGTCCCCCAAGTCGCCGAAATGAGTCACCTGAGGCTCAGGAAAAAGGGCCCCTGACTGGTGGATGGTGTCCCTTTGGCCCCCCCTGGAATACCAAAGAGGGGATCCCGATGTTGAGAAACAACCATCTGTGAAATGGGTATTACCCCGATCCTTTGTGTGGCCTGCTTCAGCTGACTCCCACAAAGTTAAAAGTAAACCCCTTCACAAGATTTGCGCTGCTATATGGCAACCAAGCAAAGCCCAACCCGACATACCAAACATACCAAACATACCAAACGGGGGTTACAAGGCAAAACGTGCGTCAAACAAAAATCGATGCCCACTGATGCGAGGTTGAACAACAGTAATTACCCGAAACATCTTTGACCCAGACTGAAATCTGATGTGTGATTTCAAGAGGGGAACCTGGTTTGCCCTGCGACCCTGGCAGAAAGAGGAAACCCTTCGTGGCTTATAATTTTCAATGGGTCCCCACCAAGCCAAAAAGAGGCCGTTGAGGGTGTCACTAAGCAACTGGAGATCGTGCTGGGAAGCGCTTGTTCTTGAAGAAGGCGCCACTGGAGGTCTTGATGGTGTGAACTAGGGGCACCAAACATGTCGGGCTTTTTGAAGCTTCCCCTTAAACCAAGGTGAAAAAAAAGGGAAACACACAGACACATACTCAAACAAACACAGACACACAGGTGAAACCAAGGTGCGCCCTAAAAAACAAAAAACACACACAAAATCACACAAACACATGGCTCACCGAGTGGCCACATGGCTCAGGTAGGCGGTGCACTCGTCCCTGCGCGCTGAGAGCCCAGTGGCGGGGTCCGCGACGTCATCGAGGCGCGCGAGGATGAGCTGCACGTGGGGCTCCAGGAGAGGGGACAGCACAGCTGCCAGATCCTCCCCGGCTCCGCACTTCCTCACCGGATCGACACTTTCCAGTGACATCCTCCACCTTTTTCCCCAACAAAGATGTTGTTTGCCTGGAAGCAGCCCCCCAAAACGGTTTTGAACACCCATCAAAATGATCGTTTTTCATGGAACCCTAACAAGTTGTGGCTCCTGTTGGTCTCCTTTCGCTAAGGCAACACAATAGTTTTTCAAAAGCCAAGCGCTGCAAAGATCGCCTTTTGAAATGGAATGCCCCGGCACGTCAATCGAGCAGTAACGCACAGTGGATGCCCGTCTTCTCATTGAAATACGGTTCTAGGGGAGCTGACTCTGTGAAAAAGTGGGCAACAAATTCAAGAAACACATGCTCAACATACTATGGCTCACCAACTGGAAATACCTTGTTCGGTGGCTTTGATATCATCAGCGTAGGCAAGAGCGACAGAGCGACGCCATCGGGCCAAATCTTGCGAATGCTCCTCACTTTGTTCAAAGTGTCAAATTGCTGCTCTCAGGGCTGCTTTGCAACACGCCCCGGACAAATGGATCCCCCCCTCTACAAATGCAGTCATGTGTTGTTCTTTTGCCGTTGGGACAAATGCAAGTGTTTTCTCGAATAGGGAAGGTGGTCCTGGTTGATTGCTGAGCAGCGTTGTGGGTATCGCCCATGACAAATTCTTCACTTCAAAACTTGAAAGGGAAGGTTCCCTGGCATGACGGAAGTGGGGCAATCCCGTGGCCAGCGTCTCGTACACGAAGATCCGCGTGCGCGCTGGCAGAACCTGAAGATGAACAGGATCCCCATCCCGAACTCGAAATCTTGCGGCCCCCCTTGCTCTACAACCAAGAAAATGTTAGGACATGTATGAACAGGGGGGCAATGACCCCTAGGAATTCCTAAGTGGAAATTAAGTCCACCCCCTTTTGCTAAACAAGGGACATGAACATCATAGCCAACATGCCTTCCCCCTCTTTAAATGTGCACCCCACATCCCTGTGCAAGTGGGGGGTTGGGCAAGAACCAAGTGAACGTGACGCCACAGAAACCTCCAATTGAAAGCATGGAAAGAAATGTGCCTCTCCTGAAAGCCATGTGTGACACGACTGGCACCAAGAGAGCAGAATTGGCTCAAACGGCCAGCGGCCAGGGGTTGTAATTCCAATATGAAGAACCCAGAAGAACACCAAAGCACTGCAAAACGAAAAGCAAGCAGCACAAACCCCAAAATAACACCCACATGAACACCACAAATCCAAGCTTCGTCTGCCCCCTTGGCACTGCCCCTTCCCCCGCCCTCCCACCTGCAGCAGGGAGCTGTTACCCAGCCAGGACAAGTCCTCCCGGCAGTGGGGCAGCACAATGTCCGCCGACAGCGGCATGCGCCCAGTGTCCAACCAAGCCAGCAGGCCATCCACGCGCCCTGCAGGCAGGTTAGAGGGATCCCCAAAGGGAAGTTGGGGTTTGGTTCGAAAACAAACATGTTCAAAAATAATGAAAAGCAAGAGGTCGAATCAAAGAACGACCAACAAAAATCAAGTACTTTCTGGGGGATCGATACTTGACAACTTCCTAAGTGCAAACTGCTTGCCACATTCTGGCCAAGCAAGGCCACCTTGTTGAGGCCCAACGTGACCAAACGCACTTGCAGAGAAATTGGGCCGGGGTGGGCCGTGGAGAAGAAGGATGGGACTTTCGGAAGCGGCATTCCGAAAGTTGCCTTCTGACACACAGAACATGAAAGGGTACTCTCTCAAACGGGACCTCTTTCATGGGGAGTGCCCACTTACTTCGGGCGATGATTGTTCCATTTGCCAAGTCAGTGCTTGGTCGCCTATTGGGAGGCCCTGCGTCCCGGCCTAGGGCCGTCTGCAAGGGCCAGGCGTTCTGCACGCCTTCTGCGTGCCTGGGATGGGGGCCGAGAGCACTAAGCTCTAAGAGGGCTTCTCCCCCTACTTTCTGGGGGGAAAAACCGTGCCCCAAGGGCTTGGGGAACAACAGCCCAGGCTGTCACCGGCGGATTTTTTCGGGAGACACACCCAGGGAAAGGGCCGGCTTCCCTTTCGCAGGGCCCATCCGACACAGCCCAGCTGTGGATCAGCGAGTTGGAGTTGACTCGTAAACCTTACAGGTCGGTTTCACCAGGATATGCACAGGTCAGCTTTGGACAAGTAAGAAGCTCGACTCCTTATGGATGACCGGTGTAGGTCTGAACGGTTTTGGGCAAATGGGCAAGCTCAAAGGTTGTGATCTTGGGCAAGCGTGAAATACGGACCGCTCAGTTCACAGATGTTCACAGGCTAGAACATGCTCAAACTGTTTGGCCCTCGGCCAAAAAATCGAGAAGAGACTTGTCAGCGAAAAGTGAAACAGATTCGACTAGCAAGTTTCATCTCTTGACGATGATGCTAAGGGATACGCAGGAGACCCTGTTTCACCAAGCCACAAGCAAAATGAGAAATACAACAAAGGGTTTCAGCCATTCGAGCCCGGTAATTTGGCAAGGTCCTGAAAGTCAAATGACATATTTTACAAATCAGGTGTAAATGCTAATAATTATGTTCAATTCATCATATTGTGCAATTTTCAATGAAGGGGCACACAAGTGCTAATTTTGGCCCAAATGGAATCCGACTGGGGAAACCCCAGGAAAATCATGCCGGCTGTTTCGGGAAGCAGCCTTTGAGTCTTCTTTGCACGTTTCCCTGATAAAAGGATCCACCCCAGGCCGCTTTCAGCGGGGCTTTCAGCCGGCGCGTCTGGGATCGTCTGGGCGCACGCCGGCGATCTCCGGGAGCTGCAGCATGGCTTGGGCCCGGCTCACCAGCTCCAGCGCCTCCGTCACCTCGTGGGTGTAGAGCCGGCTCTCCTGGGAAACCCGATGCCGGGGGAGGGGGGGCCAGGGGGGGGGAGGCAAAGGATGCGATGGAACGATGTTAGTGCTTTGGTGGCAATGTTTGGAGGCTAGGGGTGGTTTGGCGTGGTTTGTGGTTGAAACATCCATCGCGATAAATCAAAATGGAGCCATCCCGACCTTGTCACAAAGAGACTCCCCTCGGCCACCCCCAGAAAGTGGCAATCGAAAACTAAAGATCGAGGGGCCGAAGGCGCGATCACAGGTTCTGTTGAGTGAGTGGGGAGGTAGGGATAGAAACAAGCAAAGGCCAGCAGCACCAAAACAACAAAGGCCGAGAAACGGCAAACAAACAAAACAAATCGAGACA